TGCTGTCAGGTCATATAATGGCACGGCACACGGCTGGCTCTCAGAGTGGATTGTTCCAATTGCCACATTTGTAGCATATGATGAAATGAGTTCTCCACCAGTAGCTGTATATGACCTCTCTTGATCCCAACTTGACCTTTAAACCTGCCTTCTATGTCGTCTTAAACATTCTCACAACTTATTTATTAAGTTCTTCTCTTGGACCCATTAATTTTTAATGAAGTGCACGCTGCTATCCTGTTCTGTGTCTGTTTTGTGTCTTTATTTGTTTTGCCCAATTAGACTTTAATATTTGTTTTCCAAGTCCTGTTCATTTTGTTTTTTAGCCCTTGAAATGAAATGCTCTTAATATGAATTCCATGGTTCCAACACAACCCAATCAGTCAAGAGTTGTGGAAACTGTATGTATAAATAAATGACCTTTAATAAAATGAGATTTAAATTAAGACCAAGAGTATGATAGAACAGAACAGAACATGGTAATTCATAAAATAAGCACTTAAAGAAACTCAACCACAACTGGTTTTGTCAATTTTAGCCCCAATATGATTGTAATGAGATGGTAATACAGTAAAAGCAATAGTGAGAGTAAAGAACAAACCCTTTTTTAATTCATAGTGCTGTCTGATGAGTCTTAAACTGAATGACCATTTTGCACACTCTTTCACCTTTTTTAAGTGCTATTGAATGTTTCCTTGTCACCATTTAGAAATGTTTAGTATAGATAAACTTTTGAGGTTAATGACAATCAGTTGCAATAACAAGGGATATTTTTAATGGATAATTTCCAAAAGGAGGCTACAGATAAGCCAGATTTTTTTCAATTGTTTTATTTGAATAACATGAAAACACATTCACCATGTTCATGATTCACATCACACCAAATCACTTTTTTTTTTGTATATTTCAGGAAACATTTGGGATTTAAGTGCAATTTATACGTTAAAGCTGTCAAATTTTGTAATTCCATCTGTGAAATGCCCTCTTAAGTAATAATGTTTTGCCAAATGTGCAACCCAGACAGCACTGTGGATACACCCACACATAAATGTTCATCCTAGTTTTGATCAAATTATAAAATTAGAATTGCACTATGGTATAACTATAAGTAGTCTATAATTAGAATACTTTAAACACCATACAAATAACAGCGGGGGTAATTAGCCTTTACAATGCTGTTTCTGCCAGAGCAAAATCAAACCCGCACAGCGACAGTATTCAGTTTGTGTAGTACAGAATACCATCGAGTCAGTACCCCTCTTTCTCAATGTCATTATTAAAACAAAATTTGAATAGAGAAATTATTTTATCATTAAGAACTCCTCTTTGGCTTAATAAATAATTTTCGGTTCCTGCCCATAATCTCTATCTCACCCCTGTTGTTCTTGTACCTTTCAGCTTTGAGTTACTGTATATACCAGTCTCAGAATCGACTGGCCTTAGGGGATGTTTATAAGTATGTACATATATTTTTTTAAAAGTTTATTTTTTGAAAGAACTGCTGTTTTAAAATGCTGTTTTGGATGTGAGCCTTGAATTGGCTTATAGTTGGGATAAAATGGGGCTTTTTCGTCACCTGGCCACCTGATAACAGATAAATAAATGCATGATATGTCTTCTATTCAGTGGATGGCCACTCTTTCAGGAAATATGGCTTCAAGAGTTGGCCATTGGGTGACCATCGACTGGTATAGAATTAAGTCAAAGCTCTACGGGACTGAGTGTGAAAGAATCGGTTGCGAGATTTAAAGGGCATTTGCAATAAGCTAAGCTATAAGTTGCAGCTATGTGTAAATATAATTTTGTTTTGTTTTTATATTTCAAACCTGTACATCCTTCAAATGGCTCACTTGCCCCAAATTATCTTAAATATTTGTTTGTTTTGTCTTTTTGTTTTTAAAAATAAACTCTGTAAATATTGGTGTAAATATGGTGCTCTACACTTAGAAATGCAGTATTGGACTTCTTGTTCATAGCTGTAATATAGCCGTATTAGATATGAGTGTCAAAAACAGAGCAAGGGAGGTTGAAAAGAAAACAGTGCTATATGCATAATGTCAGTCTCTGACTTTGTCCTACCCTAATGTAAACAGCTAAATGACATGTGCATGTGTTGTGCGTTTAACATTATTGATCCACGTTCATTCAGATGAAAAGAACCACCACAATATGTTACAGGACCAAACCATGTACTGACGTTAAAAGAAGAAAAAAAAAGAAAAGTAAAAAAAGAGAAAAACAACTTTGAAAAAGCAAAATGAATAAATGTTCTGTTGCTGAAACTTGTCTTTAAAAGTTACATATAGCTATGGTGATGTCCAGAATTAAATGTGAAATATGTTGTCTTTAAACCTGGACTTCCTTTGTCCTTTTTTGTGTTGGAGCCATACTTTTTTCCTTATTGAATAGCTTGTTTTACTCCAAAATACATAATGGAAGTAAAATGATATTATTTCACATCAAAGTTATTCATCTGTGCGCTTTCTGTATAATAGAAGACATCTTGGTTCAGAGTTTCACTGGACACAATGTGGAAAGAAGTTAAACTTGACAGAGTACCGCTGCCCACAAGCCCCTGCTGCTGAAAGGTATTTGCTCCTAATTTACTGCCCGCTTTTGCTGCCAAGGTGTCTCCATTAACCAAGAGCTTTTCAGGGCTGTCTCAAGTGCACGCTTCTTATCCAAGTACATGTCCAGCCTCAGCTTAATGGTCAAACACACTATGTGTGTTGTCAGTAGAGCACCTTGCGAGCACACAGACACGTTCTGCATATTGTCCGTGTCATGCTTGGTCAGTGGAAACTGCTGAGACTGCTTCACTGTCAGAAAATGTGACAAGCTGTTCCTTAATTAGAATGAGTTGTAAGCTGGCTAGTCACTCTGCCCTCAGTCCTCAGCTTCAGGAAACATCAAGTGTGAAGACACAGGGAGTTGTTTGTTTGGCTCCTAAAACCTTTTTAAAAACAACTTGAAATAGTCTCTATATCAAGACAAGATGATAAATTACTGTTTATATGCATTCAATTGGGTCTCATGGTGTGTTCAAGTCATGTCGGATAGATCGTATTTACGAGTTGAACGCACATGAACGCCACCACAAAGTCGTCATTACGAGCAGGGAAACTCAAAATTTTCTTTAAGCCCCGAGTTTCCGAGTTGGAGGCGTGTCAATGAGAACATGGCGGAATCGATGGATGCAACGTCTGTAGTTGACGGTAAATTTTTGTTTAAATTGTTAGTTGTCCTATAAACTTAAATTGGTCATGTTCTTGTTACGCAGCTGAAATCCAAGTGTTGTATTTTCTTGTAATTTATTAAAAGAAGGTACACCGCCATCTTGTGCCGACTAAACTGACTTGAACGCACCTGACGTCGTAATTACGACTTGTCAACTTGTAAGTACGAACGTCCCAGGAGGACTTGAACGCAGCATAATCCTATTTAATCAGAAATGTTTCTCACTTAAAGGGATAGTTCACCCAAAAATGAAAACTCTGTCATTAATTACGGCCCCTCATGTCGTTTCAAACCCGTAAGACCTCCGTTATCTTCGGAACACAAATTAAGTTATTTTTGATGGAATCTGAGAGCTCTCTGACCCTCCCATAGACAGCAATGATATTACCACGATCAACGCACAGAAACGTATAAAGGACATTGGTAAAGTAGTCCATGTGACATCAGGGGTTCAACCGTAATTTTACGAAGCTACGAGAATACTTTTTGTGCGCAAAGAAAACAATAATAGCATAATTTATTAAGCAATTCTTCTCCCTGAGTTAACATCTTCGTAGCATTGTTAGCATCGTAGCATCAGCACTGTTTACGTTCAATAGACCACCTTTGTGCGCGTGCAAAGTATTCTCGTAGCTTCGTAAAATTACGGTTGAACCTCTGATGTCACATGGACTATTTTACCGATGTCCTTGCTACGTTTCTGTGCGTTGATCGTGGTAATATCATTGCTGTCTATGGGAGGGTCAGAGAGCTCTCAGATTCCATCAAAAATATCTTAATTTGTGTTTTGAAGATGAACAAAAGTCTTACTTGTTTGGAACGACATGAGGGTAATTAATTAATGACAGAATTTTTGGGTGAACTATCCCTTTAAGTGAGCCCATGGACAATGAAACAAACTTTTTTTTTCTTTTTTTTTTGTATACCTGGTCACAACTATAACTGTAAAGTTCTCTGTGAGAAACAAAAAAGTTGCTCAATAGAAAAAAAAATAATAATAATTAGTTATTTTGGTAAAAAGTAAAATTTTGGAATAAACACTTTTGATTAAACAACAGAAATTAACATAAATCAGTATGCAGACAGGAAAGGGTTTTCTTGCCTTACGTGTTATGCTTTTGTGTGCTATTTTCAAGGACATGAATGGAAACTAAAAGTGAAAATGCTGTGTAATGCAAAAGTGAGTTTCAATAGCAGGTAAATGGCAAGAAAAGAAAACTAGCATGTTTTAATTTATTCTGAATATCTGACTTGTGTATATATATATATACATACTGCAACAACTGTTAAACATAAACCTTTTTTCTGAACGGCCTTCTGCTTAACCAGAATATGGACCTCAATCACAAAATGACGTGCATGAAAACATGGTTACTGAATCGCTGATATTTTAAAGTCTGAAGAGACCAGAAACCGTTTATTTGGGTGTTCTCACAATATTTCAGTGTTTCTGGTAATGCAGCTTCTGAGTTTAAGGCTGATAAATGACAAATGTCCTAAACACAAACATCTCAAGCGCCTTCAGGATGTGGAAAGGATGGAGAAGCATGTTATCTGAATATTTAAAATGTTTATTTTTTTAGGCAGACAATATTGAATATGCTTAATTCAAGTACAGTACAGGGTCAAGTGGCCTGACATCTGTAAACAAAAGCCATAACAGATAAACGTAATACAGTGATGTTTAAAGGCACTGCTCTGTCTTTGGTAGAACATGGAGTGAATTAAAACGAACATTTCAATTCCTCAAAAAAAGAAAAAAATTACATTATATCCTTTGCTTGTTTTTAGGCCCAATGTCTGATATATTTCTTCTAATCACCTCTTTACAACATTTTTTTTTACAGCTTCAGACAATCATGAATAAAAATAACAAAGTACTTTGACAACCAAATCAACCTAGTTATTTGACCCCATCATACATGCACCAATTGGATTCCCATTTTTACTTGTCTCTCATTATACCGGTAACCGTTTTATTGACAGAGAGAAATAATAAAACAATGCGTGCAACTGCAATAATGTCTTAAAACCCTGTCTTATTCATAAGTGTACAGCATCAATAAGCCATTTTGTGGATAACTTGGCAAGGAGTGCATATTTAAAGTCAAAGTCAGTTAAATATAATACTAGACAGTTTACAGCATGTGTACACCTTGAGTACTTTCGTCGTGTTGTTGTCACCCGTCACTTATTCCACGTATTTCAAGGTCTCCGTAGCTTCCAATATTTTCTGAAAAGACAAATAGTATCAAAATGTTAATGGTGAAACTTACTTGGGAACCTAGACCAAAATAAAAGAATTTCAAATAGCTCTGAGAACAGAGGGTGAAAAGAATATCTAGGATGTATATGCACAAATGGTCTCAAAATATGATGTACTACTCTGGGGTATGTTCCCCCTTCATCCATGTAATCTCTTCTGGGAGATTTTACACAAATAACCAAGGCTTATATTCATAATCTTTCATCATGTAAGAGAACTGATTCAGACTGATTTTGCATCAGTTCTCCCTGGTCTAAATAAGTCTTACATGTTGGCATATAAAAGGCAGAAGCTGATCTTAGTTGAGCGTACATACAGCCCCAGGCAGGACTGCGTTTCAAATGAGTCACGCTGGGTTTTCAGAGATGGAGGGGAGCAGGGATGCTGCTATATTTTGAAAAGCTTTTTAACAATTAAAGAACATTACAGAAAGCTACTAAATCTTTTTAAAAGACAATCCAAATGAACCCATCTACCAATAACAGATGTTTTTTTTCTCTGCAGCATCCACAACTCCCTGACAATGGCCTATGCTGAGTTTCATTAAATCAATTAATTTCACTGCCTGCAGCAAACCAGAGCAAATTACATTCTCAGTGAATAAGTGTTAGGTGCAATTAACTTTTCAATCCAAAAGAGAGATCAATAGGGCCGGAGCTGCTGACTCTGTGATTCTATACGTATAAATTCAGTGAGACTGAGCTCTGGTCTCCTATGAGAAAACTGCACAATGGTTATTACTAGGCACCAAATATAGAGCCCCTTTAAATGTGGTGAAAGAAAAACTTCATTCAATAATTAAAGAGGTCTGTCTACACAACGGTTCTCATACTGTGGCCTCCACTGGAATCTCCAAATAATTTTTTTTTCCCCCAGAAAAACAATGGAATTAAATATATAATGTCAATAAAATAGAATGGGTACACTCTAAAAAATGCTGGGTTAAATACAACCCAGTGCTGGGTAAAATAGGGACAAACCCAGCAATTGGGCTGTTTTGACCCAGCGGTTGGGTTACTACCCAGAAGGTTGGGTTAAACATTTAACCCAACCGCTGGGTCAAAACAGCCCAATTGCTGGGTTTGTCCCTATTTTACCCAGCACTGGGTTGTATTTAACCCAGCATTTCTTAGAGTGTATATATAGTATTACTGTACTATTATTATTTGATCACGTGTTCTTGAAATGATTAATGGGATTCACCTACAAACACAAATGTAGCAAATGAGGTACCTCAGCATTTTAGTAATGGTTTGTTATTATGTTAAAAGCATGCATCCATCAATCCGATTAACTCAGTTAGGTAATTCACAATTATGTATAAATGCATGGGATTTCAATCCAATCAATTATTTTATGTATATATACACATATATAATTTTAAAAAAAAGGATTGCCTCTTTAAAATTTCCTTTCTCTAAAACACTATCTGTTCACATAGTGAGTCGATCTTCCTCGGCTGCTCACGGAGACTGGATTTGCGGAAACTCATCTCAGGAGACACTCCCTTTGCTTCCTTCGGGCTGAATTAGCATTAACAAAAGTGAGAACTGAGGTGTTCAAACAAAGGTGGTTGACATGCAACTAAATGGAACAAATATTCTGGATTACAAGAAAGGTCCTGATGGGCAAACTGGGATAATTAACGGGACCTGTCAGTATTGATTATGTTCGAAGGAGGTGGGTTAAAAGATTTGAAGCTTCTGCAATTCCAACATACTATCACTCATGTTTACAACTGTACTCAAATTCAAGTGCAAACTCAGGGTCAATAAATCATTAGAGGTTGAACAGCTGTGTACAGTCCCATCACATTGATAAGATATTGTCTATACAGCCTAATAATTTATGAAAAAACCATCAAGGTGATTTTGATTTTGATTGCAGACTAATGCAGTTTGTCATCTCTAGCACTGCAATGTTGGCTGTATTAAAAGTTTTGACTTCATTTTGCCTAACACCATTAAAGGTTAACATGGGACATGTCACATTCTCATGGACTTCAGCAAGTTGACAGATTGCCTCAGACGGCTGGCTTGTTCCACTTCCTGTGACGGTGGTCAGGCAATAATGCGAAAGCAGACTGAATCTGACGAGGTCCATCACACAACCAACATTCTTTGGCACTAGAACTGGATTTTGGACCGGGCCAAAGAGGCTAGTACCCCGGAGCCTCAGACTAGTCAGAGACTGGGCCATTAGTGTGCAAAATGTGATCTGACAACTATAGCTTTTTGGCCCCTTTAAGTGTACAGAGGGGCCCAGGGCCCTACCATATAGTACAAGATAAAACCCTAAAAAGTGTTTTAAGTCTAATGTAAGCAACCAAAACAAACATTTTCAATGGTCCTGTCCTGTGTGGCACAGTTTTTCCACTTACAGTGGAAACTTAATCATAACTCTTTGTTTTTATAAAAAGTTTCATCTGATCATCTATGATGTCCCAAGGTGTCCACCACAAAATTTGAATCTGATCAGTGACAACTGATCAACTTCTAAAGGAGTGTCCAATCCTGCTCCTGGTGGGCCACTGTCCTGCAGAGTTTAGCTTCAACCTCCATTAAACACACCTGAGCTAAAGTAATGAAATGGCGCTTTTCCACTGCGTGTTACGGCTCGGCACGGCTCAGTACGGCACGGCACGGTTTGCGTTTCCACTGCCGTTCAGTACCGCTTTAGAGTGGGTGGGATTATTCACATGCTGTTTGTGTCGCAAGTTCAGTGACGCAGGTAGTGACGATTCTCTCCGGCCAAGCCGTGATCAGCAGAGTTTACACGTCACGTTTTGGTAACGGTACGGTTCACTTGGAACCCCAACAGAGGTGGTACTAAAAAAAGTACCAGGTACTGTACCCAGTGGAAAACCCTCAAAAAGTGAACCGTACCGTGCCGTACCATGCAGTGGAAAAGCAAGATTACTAGAATCTCCCAGGCAGATATGTTGGGACAAACTAAACTCTGTTGGATGTTGGCCCTTCAGGACCAGGATTGGACACCCCTGACCTTCTAGTTAACGTGGTAAGTGTAGTACAGTATGGTGTGACTCGTTGCCTGCAGTATCAGCTGGTCTGTACTGAACGCAGACTCGCAATAGGTGATAATTCAAGCTTGAATTGCTCCGAAGGTAGGAAAAATCCTTAATAAGGTATTTACATAAATGTCAGGAGGTATGATTAATTGCGTTAATTTTTATCACATTATTTATTTTTATAATTACTCACTAAATTAGTGTGATAAACTGACAGCCCAAGTTCTAAGATAAGTGGACTCCATCATTCAACAAATTGACATCTGTTGGAAAAAGCAAACCATTAATTCTCAGTTCTAAAAGAAGCAAATTAAAACTCAGGACACAGCATGCATGCAAAATACAAGCTGCCTTTTAAAGGGAGAAACAGCTCTTATCAACACTTTCTATTTATGGATCACCCATGGATGTGAACTGTAGACACCAACATCTTTTCAAGACAACCGTATCTCTGGACTGCCACCTTGTCCAGGGTTGGCAGGTTTTCACAAGAAAACCCGCCCAAACGCTACTCAAAACTAGCCCAATCGCGTTTCGCGGGGGTTCCCCAGTTACAAATCGTGTTTCGGGGGGGTTGAATACACGTTTTTTTGGCGGGTTTCCCTTGCTAAAATTCGCATTCCAGGGGATAAATATCATGTTATTGGAATCACTTCAACCCACGGACCTGAAAAACAACCCGCGGCAACAGTGTTAAAGTAGCCCAATTTGGCAACACTGACCTTGTCCGACCCATCTACAACCCAACCCACTTCGATCGAGCTCAAGTATTGACGTTAAAGTGAGAAAATGTGAATTAACACACAGATGGTTCCCAACCATTTCCCTTCATCTTCAAGGACGATCACGTCTGATCCTCACTGCCAGCTTCTTTCTTCGTTTTATATTCCTATCAGCCACTCATACAGCTGTTACGGCTTTAAAAGGTCTCATTCAGCAAAACAGAAAGGCTAAAATCGCCAATTGCCATAATGGTTCCATGATAGTGTTGGCAGCTTGGCCTTTTCCTGAAGTTCACCCCGGATCCTTTCCTAACACTGGCCACTAAAAGGGGGTTTCCACTGCCGCTGAAAGTGCCGGCTATTTTCAGAGTCCCTTTGCCCTAGAGCAGTGGGAGCTTTTCTCCTGACAGCTGTCTTCACCCTCTCAAGCTGCTGAACACATGGAAACACAGCTAAATGGCGTCATGTGCTGCTAGCTCATCACTAGCACTCTCAAACCACTGGACCAAGCACCTCCCCGAGGTCCTGCAGTCTTATATCACCAACCAAATGTGCCGTTTAACTGCAGTCGGCACTTTTGAACTCTAACAGATCCGGACGAGGCCGCTGAAGCTATTAGCTACCGTCCATCATTCTGATGGAGAGACTCTGGTGAAGACGCACCGCCAGCACAGGCAGAGGGATGAGCTGGTGTCAGGTGAAGATTGTGAGAGAGAATTGGAGGGGTAGAAGCCCAGAAACATCACGTCTTCAGTCATCCTGAAACATAATCAATATGTGTTTTACGACCCGTGTCTCTCTGCTAAATTAAAAGAAATGTTAGACGGATGAAACTTTGATGGAGTCCCGCCTTCATCGCAAATCGTCAGCCAAGTGCTTCATTCCATTAAATGGACCATTCCGTTAAATGGTCTTCCCTTTTCAGTACCTACGCTCTCACAGCTACACAGATGATCCTTGACTACACAGTCTTCATGAAACTGGGGCCATCAAGATGTTTTCATGGCATTCTCCTTGAATAAATCTTTTGTTTTGTATTAATGAACGAACAATCATGCCAATCAGGATTTAACTGCTCATTCTCTATAGGGTCAAGGGTTAAATGCAGGATAGGTGATTTGGTTTAAAAAAAAATTGTTATGGTGGTTGAAAGTCTCTTCACATCCCGATAGCAATCACTAAGTTAAGTGGTAAATGCATTTATATCATCTGTGGAAGGCGTAAGACCATAAAAATCGAATCAGGGCGTTCCATTACGCTATTGCAGACCGAGCAAGATTGGAAGCCGTTCTTATTGTAATATAATGCGCTTTGTACTGTAATGTTTTGAAAGCGTTGCATTCAACCCTCCACTAACGCCTTCTCTCATTGTGATGCTAATTAACCTCTTGTCTGCCTGTGTGCGTTCATATGTTTTGCATGGCTTTGGAGAATGATTTGCAAGGAGGGTGGGATCTTATGATTTCAAAGCTAGCTTGCTATTGCTAGCCTCTCCGAAATCATCTACCCTACCTTTAAACACGGAATCATATTTTCTATTTTTCTTGTAGTTACTCGAGATAGTGTATGGATCATATAATCTCAGTGTTAACTTTATATTATAAAGTAATCGCCGTTCAAGATTAATTGATATTTCTTCACAATCTTCAAGAAGATTCAGCTGCAAATGTAGCCTAGTAGTCTGACCCAGCAACATATCAATTGCAATTCATTATATTGAATGTTTTAATAATGCCTGATTTTAAAGGGCTCTCGAAAAACCCACATAATCACTTTCCAGATCTGAGAGTGCTGACATATTTCTTATAAGACATTTGGGAAGGACATATTAAAGTGTTTCTCCCCTCAATTTAAAAAGCCAATAGGATTTATGTCACAGCACTGAACCATGATTTGGTACATGTTGCTAGTCAGTGATATAAGAGAAGGGATATTTTCATTCTAGGGATCAACTGATTGGACAGGCCGAGTCATCAATAACTTTTGGTCTTTTGAGAAACAAACAAGCTATAATAGATAATAAATATGAACTAAATGTTGTAAAAGCTTTTTGTTTCGTTTGTCTTCTTTTTTGACCTTTCACTTCACAGAATGATAGTAGCTATAATAGCTATTAAAGCGATAGCTCACCCAAAAATGAAAAGTGTCACCATTTAATGACCCTCAAGTATTCCAAAACTGTATAAGTTTCTTTCTTCTGTTGAACACAAAACAATATATTTTGAAGAATGTTGGTAACCAAAATTGCAGGTAGCCATTGACTTCCATAGTGTATTTTGTTTCCACACTATGGAAGTCAATGACTACCAGCAACTGTTTGGTTATTAACATTCTTCAAAATATGTGATCAACAGAAAAAAGAAACTCATACAGTCTTGGAACTACTTGATGATGAGTAAACGATGAATTGTCTCTTTAAAGGCTAGATGTCTTCATCGGCTAAAGATTAACTTGTCACATGGCGTTTACAGCTCAGGTGACTGCCGTAAAAAAAAAACTGAATGCACATGAGCGAAATGGCAGAATTCAATTCACAAACTTTCGGGGGGGTCCTGCACCAGCCGAGCAGCTGCCATTAAGATAAATGACAGTGCAAACGAATAGCTCTCCCCAGGTATTATAAACCCCTTTGCACATATTTATCAACGTCTGCTTTTCAGCAAATAAGGTAGAACCAATTGATATTCATAAGCCGGTTGATTTTATAATCTGCCCCCCACTACTTTTCGTTCCTACACCATTGCACACTAGTGCTGCGATTTGCTAAAACCAACACATAAAAATGCAAAACTATTAGAGTAGTGCTCATCACGTACCCAAATTAACTGGAAAATATTATAATCCACAGCATTAAGAGGCAAAGGGGGGCCATATAGCATACATCTTATCTGCTGTTAGTGAGGGGAGAAAACACAAGGCCACATTAAGGATAACGCTGGATGCCAACAGCACACGCCAGCTCATTGTCATTCACAATCCAACTGTGCCATATCACTAGAGCCATGGCAACGGACTTACCGACCGAGGGCTCGTCTCTGCAGAAATAAAGCCATTGAATCCTGTTAAAGCGTGTCGATGCTGTCGCTTTGACAGACATTGTATGGAATCATTATTAATACTTTAGATAATAAAGCACACCCATTCCTTTTTAGAAGAGAGACGGTGGTCTGAATTCATTATCACGAATGTTCCAAATGTGAATCACTGTTTCAGTCTAAATGAGGCAGGGTGAGGTTCATATCCATAAACAATAAATTACTGCCACTGGCACTACCTACCTTGACTTTTGAATAACAGTAAAAATCACAGATATACACAGACATCTTAAAGGGATAGATTCCCCAAAAATTTAAATTATTTTCCTTCATCGTCATGTCATTCCAAATCTCTATGATCTTTGGAATATTCCAACTGTTTGTGTCCATAATATAAACATTGGACCCCAATGACTTTCACTGGACAAGAGAAAAGACCAATGTACACAAATGACGGCATAATTTTAAGGCTCCTTTTTAAGGCTTCAGGATATGTTTGGTTTTGTTCAGAACAGAATATTTCCATACTGTTTGTACTAGTGTGTTAAACTGATGAAAGATTTACGTTTACATTGTTACAAAAATCTATTTGAAATAAATGCTATTCTTAGAACTTTATATTCTTCAAAGAATCCTGAAAAAAAAAAAAATCTATCAGGGTTTCCTTTCATAAAATATAAAACAGTTATTTTTAACTGCAATATTTATATTTTAAGTTTCCACTGTTTTCAAATTAAAGACATATGGTACATGCTTTTTTTTACCTACAATATCAACAAGCAGCTACTATAATATTATAGTATGTTTTTATTAAAAATAGCTTTTTTTTTTTAATTACAGCAAAGTCTCACCATTTATGCATTATTAAACATTTTCATATTGCTTCAAAAATAAAAGCTGATGAATCTAAATTAGTATCAACTGTGATTATGCAAATAAACATATTTTATCAACATAATGTAATATTTCCTTATTGACTCATTATTTAAAAATTTACTTTTTTTAATTGATTTACAAATAAGCAAATTTATTTCAGAGATGATAACTGAGTCCTGCTCGCTGAATTAAACATGCAACATAATGAGGTCATAAGACAGCAATGTTGCATGCTACTGTTTGAAATATTTATCACTGCAAAATACATACTGTCTCAATGTTATTAAAAAAAAAAAAAGGCAGTTCGCGGCAAGCAGTATGTCAGTATTTTATTCCAAACATATCCTTTGTCTTTTGAGGAAAACTGTTTTTTCCCCTCATTATTAAGTGTGCTTGGGCAGACTGCAGCATGTGTTTCTTTGTGAGTGACCTACTTCTTATGCCGCATACGAGGTGATAAACATCTGCCTAAATAGCTAAACCTCATTAGCAAACACTACCTGAACACACTCTGTATGTCACAATGTACAAAGGTCTCTCTGGATCATTTAATGATCAGAAAGCATGTTAATGCTGCTCTGGCCTCTCTGAGCCGAGAGATAATGGTTGCCGCATCACCACTTATGTTGACGCAGACATGTGTTGTTGACCCACTGAGGCATATACGCAGATGACTATTTGCACTGAAGTACTTCCTGACAGGGCCTGTCATATAGGCTGCCACATTTCCTGTTTGCATGCGATAGATATGTGCACATGTACAAATGTGTACTCACCCTTTTCTTAAAAGCTTCTAGGGAGTCAAACTCCAGCTTGGCTAGATTGACTTGGATATGTTTAGGAACATCGGGAATGACGAATGCCAGGATGAATTTGAAGGCAAGGAGAACATGCTGCAATAAACAGAAAAAGACAACTTTACTACAGTTTTCATGGACTGTCGTTATGTAATTGTCTATATGTCATATAATTCAGTTCTAATCACACTTTTATGTGTTTAAGAGCAACTTGAAAATGTCATTTAACAGAGGCTTTTTTTACAATGTGAACCTCTCTTGACAAACCGAGACTGATCCAATCAAAAGGGAATGTATTTCAGTAATGAATGGCTGGATGATTTTTATGGCTCTCTATGTGTTCAAAGGCCACATTAGTGAGATGTATGCTGCTGGCAGAGTGTCAGCTGTCAGTGTGTTAAATAGATCACCACATGCCCACTGCATCTGAAACCAGCTCGCTATTCACCTTTGTGTGATCCAAAGAGATCTGAAGAACTCTTGATGGTTTAAGTACATTTATTAATAATACATGCATACTTTAACTCTTTTCAACAGAATGATGTCCCGGCTTTATTTAAATTCTGACCTTAAAGTTAATGAAATTACACTGCAGTGCATGTAAATTCTGTAATGTGAATACATAAATGTAAGGGTGGAATGGGTTTTGCTGTTGGCTTACAAAAAAACTAATAATTTTATGTTTCTGATAGTTCACTCAAAATGTTGTCATCATTTACTCACCCTCTTGTCCATAAGTCTTTCGTTCATCTTTTAAACACAAATGGAGATATTATAATGTAACGCAGGGATTTCGGTCCCTACATTCAAATTCACCCAAAACTTCATAAAAACACTGTAAAAGTAATTCATATGAATACAGCGGCTTAATCCATGTCTTCAAAAGAGACACAATAACTTCATACGATGAACAGATTTAATGTAAGCTTTAATTTTAATCTAAACATTGATTAACACACCTACATGGAGTACATCAAAGATGGTAAACAAAGAAGCTCAAAATTACTAGCTTGACGCATGAGAACAAATCTCATTCATACTTGAATTTCAAACATGCTTGTGTTATATGTGAGCACAAACCTCAATGGTTCTTGTGAGTCAAGTGAACTCGTATGAGCTTGTTTACCATATTTGATAATCTTTATGTACATTAAATGCCTCAATTAAATCTCTTCATTATATAAACTGATTGTGTCTCAGAAGACTCGGATAAAACCACTGAATTCATATGGATTTTTTTTTTTTAAGATGTCTGTATGAAACTTTTTGAAGTGTCAGAAGTGTTGTTTGCATGAATCTTTCAATGAAAAGACAAATCTCTAAGGTTTTGTTAAAAATATCTTCATTTGAGTTTCAAAAATGAACAAAAGTGTAATGGATTTGGAACAACATGAGGGTGAGCAACTGATGTAACAATTTTCATTTTTTGGTGAACTAACCTTTCAAACATTTCTTAAATGTAGCACAGTTAGCTCACAAATGCAAGCGATAGTCTATACAATTCACTATAAAACTGCATCTGTCTTAATATCCCTGTTAGTCAGCTATTGTTGACTAATGTAGAAAATGTCCCAGCTCTGCTTTGGATGCAGTAGAAAGTCAGAGAAGAGACATTAGCTAAAGCTGTGACTGATGGAGACAAAGGAACCCCTGGGACTCGTCAACAGATTTCTGTGAAAACCAAAACAGAATCTGCTCTTTCTTGTGTGGGTGACATAAATTAGGATTGTGTCATTATAAATGATGTAGTGAAAGACTGGATATTTTGATGTTGCTTGGGAAATACACCAAAATCCAAATTGCTCTTTTGAGACTCTGGGCCATTTACACGCACAAACATTCACATAGTTCATTATCTGAACTTAAATGACCCAAATTCATATAAATACAGTGGGTACGGAAAGTATTCAGACCCCTTAAATTTTTCACTCTTTGTTATATTGCAGCCATTTGCTAAAATCATTTAAGTTATTTTTTTTTCCTCATTAATGTACACACAGCACCCCATATTGACAGAAAAACACAGAATTGTTGACATTAAATTTAAGGGGGTCTGAATACTTTCCGTACCCACTGTATATGAATCATCACACTCATGACCCATAAACATGACAGCAACTTTAGCTTTATTGTGCTAGAAAACCTTGGTTTCATCTAAATTTCATTCATATTTAACAGAAAATGTATTCTCCCAAAGGTAATAACACACATTGAATACTTAAAATCACAGTAGTCATAGAATGTTAAAAATAAATTATCTATATATATGTATATATATATACAGTATATATATACAGTGCCTTCATTTTTTTTTCACATTTTGTTATGTTCAACTGCTTTAAATGACTTTTTTTCCACATCAATCTACGCTACATACACCATATTGACAAAGCAAAAACAGAATTGTCACAACTTCGTAAATGTATTAAAAATAAAAAAACTTAAATAAGTACATTGCATAAGTATTCACTAAATATTTAGCTGAAGCACCTTTACAGCCTTAAGTCTTTCTTGTTTGATGCGACAAGCTTTGCTCATCAGCATTTGGCAATTATCTGCCATTCTTCACCTCACCTCTTCACCTCTCAGGCTCTGTCAGGTTGGAAGGGAGCAGATGCACATTTTCAGGTTTCTCCAGAAATATTTGATTGGGTTCAATCCCAGGCTGTGGCTGGGCCACTCAAGGACATTCACATAGTTGTCTATAAGCTACCTGTACTCTTGCTGTGTGCTTAGGGTCATTGTCCTGTTGGAAGGTGAACCTTCTTCCCAGTCTGAGGTTCTGAATGCTCTGGACTGGGTTTTCATTAAGGCTATCTCTATATTTTGGTGCATTGAGATTTTCTTCTACTCCGATGAGTCCCTCAGTCCCTGCCGCTGAAAGACAGCCCCACAGCATGAGGCTGCTACCAGCACACTTTACTTTTGAGATGGTACTCTGCAGGTGATGAGCAGAGCTGGTTTCCTTCAAACATAATGCTTAGAATTTAGGTTCATCAGACCAGAGAATCTTGTTTCTCACAGTCTGAAGGCCTTTTAGGTGCTTTTTTGCTAATTCCAAGTGTGTTTTCATGTGTCTTCACTAAAGAGAGGATTGAGTTTGGCCACCCCCCGCCATA